ATGCTTGCTCACGGCACACAAAATAAAGGCTTTCATTCAGGCCTTTCCCATCTTCTAGCATGCCTCCTGCGTGGACTGCACTTCACATGCTGTTGACCCCCTGACCAGGCCCCTGTGGCCAGAGCTGACTCACCCAATGGAGTGTTGTGTCCGGTGTGTGTTCTTCCTCTGTGCCTGCGGCTGCAGAGAGTTGTCTTAGGATTCACCTTGCAGGACAGATGCAGAAGATACGACTCTGCCGAACCCAGTGGTGAAGCTTTGTTTAGGAGTCCTCGGAACTGCTTTTAGCTCCCCGCCCCCACCTCCATTCTGCTGTGACTGTGTTTGTGGGTGAGCGGCCTGCCAGGACCCACTGTTTGGGGACAGCTGTGACAGGGCGGAAGACCAAGATTTGTAAATAGCTCTTTCCTTGGGCTGCCGAAAAGGAAGAGCGTTGGGTGGAGAGGATGCTACTGCCATCCTGTCCAGAGTGAAACTCCAAACAGGGAGATCACAGGTTTCCTTCAGTATTAGGTTTGCTCGGTCTGTTCCCTGAACCCCAGAATCTCTAGCTGGCCTCTTGCGGAGATGCTGATCAGAGAAAGAGGGCCGGAGAGGGCTGGGGTTTGCATTGTCATCATCTTGTCTGGTTTTGAGGGAGTTTAATGCCTTTGCAGTGGTTAGGGGGAGGTCCTGGAGGACTCCTGCTGAAACGAAGGACAGCTTGACCCTAAGTTTAGTAGGAGGTGGCTGGCACCTGGTGGGTTGCTAAGCTAGTGTGGCCGCGAGATGCTGACTTCCCAGCTCCTTCATGGTGTTCCAGTAGGACCTAAAAGTCCTTGTCTGGAAGGGTGCCAAGAGCTGCCTAACCAGTGGTTCCGCTCTCTCACTGCTATGGTGTGTGCCTTGCTCTTGGCCTCTTAGTGGTGCTGTTTTCTCCTAGACTCCCTTGTATGAGCACCACCTCTCCCAGCCCTCCCCGCTCATTTCCTTTCAGTCCTCTTTTTATCAGATACAGTTAGACAAGTTTGGTGTTAGAAATGGCTGGGAAAGGTGAGAAGTAATTGCTGGTGACTCCTCGTTTGGCAGGTGCAGAGGGGGTCCAGACATCGTGGTTGATGTCTTCATGTTGGGATGTACCTCAGGCTCACCGTAGTGAAAAGACTGCCCCGATGTCAGCTCGCAGGATCCCACACTCCTCATTTCCTTTAATTCATCTTCTCATTGGCAAGCTCACTGTGAGTGTGTCCGTGTGCGGCAGTCTTTGACGTGCACTTGCCGTGGAAGGACTCGAAGCTCCTGAGCTCCACTTCAGATTCGCACCTGAATGTGTCTGTGGTGTTTGTACTCATCCATTTCATTCAGCATCGTGTCCTCCGGGTACAGTTATTCCGCTGCAAATGACGGGATTTCCTCCTTTTTCAGGGCTGAGTAGCATCCCACTTCCTTTTCCTGATCATTTGTCAGTGAGCCCTCCTGTTGATTCTGTGTCTTGGCCTGTTATCCCAGCTTTGGGGAGGTAGAAGCAGAATGACCAAGAGTTCAAGGCCATTCTGGGCTACAGGAGGCCCTATCACAAAATAAAGATGTACTTTTGTGTCCTTTGCCCATCTTTACACTGCCTTGTTTTCTTGCAGTTGTGTCCGTGTGTGTTTCAGATGTTAGCTGCTTCTCAGGTGCGTGACCTACAGGTGTTTCTCGTGTTCTCTGCCGCTTGTTTCCATGGCTGCTCAGTTGGCTCTTACCTAATACTTCTTTCCTGTGGCTCTGAGTCAGTATGTGAGGCTTCCTGGAGAGACCCGCCACTCACCCAGCCGCTGTTAGGAACACCGTGGTGCTTTCATTTCTTTGTATTGGTTCTTCCACGTAAAAGGCATCACGGTGAGAGCACGTGGCTGCCACATTCTGACTGACGTGCCCCCAAGGTCACCACTAAGAACAGTTCTCGGTGAGCACTTGTCTGCTTTCACCCATAGCGTCCGTGTCCTGTGTGTTTGTAAAATGGGGTGCTTCTATTTCAGTGAGGTTCTCTCCCAGGCTTTCAGCACGCTGCACTCACGTCAGGACACACAAGCCCAGCTCTACGTTTTTACTGTTAACGGCTGTGTTGTATTTCCTGTTGTGGGTGCACCAGCGTCTTAACTGCTTGTCTCTTGGTGTGCGTGTGCTTTTAGAATCTCTCTCTTCTCGTGAAGTAGTCCTGTGTGAGCATGTGCTGTGTGCACATGTACAAATGTTTCTCTTGGATAGTTGCCTGGAAGTGAAGCTGCTGGCTCCAAGTGAACGCTATTCTTGGTTTTGATAAATGCTGCCAAATTGTGTTCCCAATGGAGTTAGCTAACTTCAACCTGTTCCGGTGGTGTGCTTGCTTTCACGAACACATGATAATTCCACATCAGATAGGTGGAAAGTCATACATAATGGTGTACTTTGTGTTCTTTTTGGCTGCATCAACTTTCTACTTTTTAAGACTGTCTCATAAAAGGGTTGAGGGTTCAGGTCAGTAATTGCCTGGCCATACAATCACGAGGATCTGAACTCAGTCCCCAGCATTGAATAAAGTGTGGTGGCACACCCTTACAATCCCGGTGGGGAGGATCAACAGGAGGGCCACTGGGGCTTGCTGGCCACCCCCTCTTGTTTAATTGGTGAACTTCAGATCCTGGTGAGACCTTGTGTCAGGAGAAGGTAGACAGCGCCCATTGAAAACATTGGAGGTTGCCCTCTGCGTCCCCCCGCTACGAATTTCTCAAAAAGCCAGATGTCATCGTTTGTGCCATCCCAGTACTCAGGAGTTTGAGGCCAGCATGGACGCATGTTTTTCCTGTCAGCTCATTAAACCTTAGGGTGTGGTGGGGGAAGGTAGTGAAGTAGCTCAGAAGCTCAGTGCGTGTTGCCAAGCCCACGATTGAGTTTGGCCAGCAGGAGGAAGGAGAGAAGCAACGTCCAGAAGTTGTTCTCCAACCTCCACAGGTGTGCTGTAGCACACTTGCCCGCAGCCTCCAATGTCTTTTACACATTAAGCTGGGGTTGAAGTGAACTGTCCTGATCAGTTCTCTGCTACAGCTCTTTCTGAGATCACTTCTGACAATTGCTACGGTCTTTTCTCTGCGCAGGGTAGCCGGGGTGATGGGTGGACCACTCTGCCCAGGCTGTAGTACCGGCCTTGTTTGCAGGGTGTTCCTGTAGTGATCCAGCTTCTAACACGCAGGCTCGAAGACTGTGTCCAGATGGTTTTACTACTGATTCCTGGTTCCCAAATAAAGAATCGAATAGGACTGAAGAGATGCTCAGTGGTTAAGAACATCTGCTCCCACAGAGGACTTGTGTTCAGTTCCCAGCACACGCGGTGTCTCACAGCCACCAGCTCCAGGGGACCTAATGCTCGTCTGACCTCTGCAGGCACCAGGCACACATGAGGTGCTTAGACACATACACAGGCGAAATACCCATGCACATAAGAAACAGATCTAAAACAGTCAGCATAATGGTTTTCTGTATGAGAGGACGGCAGCCAAGCTGGTTTCTGACCAAACTGAGCACCGACACTGTCCACTTACAGTGACTTTAAAAGGCAGAACCCTTGTGCCAGCCTCACAAACATAGACATGAGAATTCAATATTGTGTTTCAAAGCAGACACACCGCACAGTGTGTACCAGCCAGACCCTCACAGGTGGCAACAGATAAGGTCACTCCCAGAATGAGAGTAGCTTAATATAGAAGCTGAAGCAATGCTGTGCTTAGGTCACTGAACATGAAAGTTGGTTATTTTCATAGATGCCAAAAATGCATTTCGATTAAACAACTCTCCCTGATAATACTTTTAAAAGGGAAGGGCGGGATGCAGCTCAGTGACAGAATGACTCCCTAGCAGCTTGAAGGAGACCCTGGGCTTAAAACCATAAAACGTTAAAAGAGAGGGGGTGCTTCCAACTGTCAGTGCTGGTGGAATCAGAAACAAGCAAGGACTTGATGTTTGAGGCTCTAACCCGGGCTGGGAGATGGGAGACAAGTCAGAATTAGGGCTTTGAGAGTTGAAGGAGGTGACATTGTTTCACATACGGTGTTTCTCGTGGAGATGAGATCCTCCAGTGATAGATTTTGTCAGTGGATACACAGACATCCACAGATACGACGTCGTGGTTTATCAGAATCCACAGGAGGCTGACTTCAGTAATCCTTTGTGTAAAATGGCGTGTATCCACGGGATGTTATCCATGTGCTCTTGATTGCTCATAATTAATATGGTGTGACTGCTATACAAACGGCTTTTGTTATTCTTTTCCTTTATTTTATTTTATTTTATTTTTTATTTTTGAGACAGATTACTGTGTAGCTCTGTCTGTCCTGGAACTCACAGAAATCAACTTGCCTCTGGAGTGCTGGCATCAAAGGCCAACACTTCAGCCTTATGCAAACAGGTTTTAGACTATATCGTGTATAGTTTGGGTTATAATGATAAGAAAGGGGGCTGGGTATGTTCAGTAGAGATACATTTTTAATGCCTGTTTCAGCCCACTGTAGTTGAACCTGTGAATTCAGAATCAGCTGTCCCCTCAGCCAACTATCTTTTTGGAGGAAGGGGACACAGTCTGGTTTGTGTTAACTCAAGTACCCTTATGTATTTCTGACAGTGTTGGGTGCTGTCTTAGTCCGTGATCTAAACTGAGGTAGCTCCTGGCTCCACTCACCAGAACAGGGTGATGCTCAGCAGCAATGTCTTGCTAGGTGGCTTGGTTTTTTGCTGTTTGAGTGATATCTCTTTGAGTTGGGAACCCTCAGAGGCCTAAGATCAAAACCGAGTAAGTGATGCCACCCAGGTGAGCCAACGGATGCTAAGCTGGCCCTTGGGTAGACTCTGCGGCCTTCTCCTTAGGCTCCTTGCTCAGTAGGTCACTGTAGGTGCTGTGAACCACCGTCCGCATATGCAGTCTGTGGAAGCTTCTGGTTTGGTGATCTGCTACATCATTAGGGAACTGGATCTTCAGACTTTGCAATTTCTCTCTTTTTCCTTATCAGCATGTGGAGAGGGCCGAATGTGAACTGCGTAGACAGCACCGGCTACACACCACTCCACCACGCTGCGCTGAATGGCCACAGGTAAGCACCAGGGCCCCTCCCCTGCCCACCCTGCAGAGCCCAGCTCAGGTGTCTCTCTGCCTCCTATGAGGACAGAGAGAAGCAGAGTCCACACAGAACATGCAGACACAAGCATCCTTTTCTGCCCCACCCCCAGAAAGACCTTTAGAAAGAAGTGAATTTCACCTTTTCTCCTGATGATCTCTTCCTGTCTGGAGCATTCACACAACGGTGGTGACTATGAAGACCAGACTTAGGGTGGCCAGCTCGTAAAGATCCTGGCCCACAGGCACCCATCCCTTGATGGACACAGTAGATGGGGGGGGGGCTGAGGCTGACTTTCTGTCTGGATAGCTGCCACTCTTCCCTGTAAGATCAGCCTGTGAACAGTGATTCCTGTAGAGAGGGAAACTGTACACGGCCCACGTAATCCTCGGAGATCTAGGAGGTTATTAGAACTTGAGTGGGGCATGTGTGTGGAAGGTTTTCTGGAGAAGATGAACTCAGGGAAGCTGAGAGTTCCCTGCTGGGAGTCATCAGTGAACCAATGTCAAAATCTCAGCACAGTACAGGTGCAGTCATGGGGTGTGGGACGGGTTTGCCCAGATGTGGAAGAGCAGACACAAGGGGACAGAAAAGATGGTGTTGAGAGTCAGAGCAAAGTCCCACAAGGAAGAGGAGCTGCGTGGGTGTAGTGCTGGTGGCAGGGACAAGGACTCACTGGGATTCCCACCCTTCCTTATCTTTGGTGCTGACCTCGTGCTTTGCCACTAACCCATATGCTCAGCCCTCATTTTATACGAGCAAGGAAGAATCTGTCACCTGGCCAGTGTGTGGCTACTTGATGGTTTGCTCCAGCACTGAACTCTTCTCAAGTTGAATGTGGACACCGTTTCTTTTCTAAAACAACTTTAAAGCTAAAGCCCAGGGCCAGCAAGATGGTTCAGAGGGTAAAGCACTTGCTGCGTGCCCAGTGACCCGACCTTGATCCCGGGGACCCATGGTGGATGTAGAGAAATGACTTCAGAAAGTTGTCCTCTGACTTCCGTCTGTGCTCCATGGCACATGGTATATGCACAAAGAGAGAAAAGAAATATATTGAGACCCCTCTCAAGTAGCTGGGAAAGTCTGAATTAATGTGACCTCTCAACTCAGAGGTGGCAGTTTACTAGCCAGGTTCCTCTCCAGGGCCTGTGTGTAGTCACAGGGAGGGTTTTCTTTGACCTTGTGTGCCTGGGGATAATCACACATGTGTGTCTGCCTAATTAGCAATGTCACCATGAAGAAAACCAGAGCCGCCTTTTTGAAGCTATGAGATGATGCTCTGTGTATCTGGCTTGTGTCTGTGACACGGACTTTGCTCTGTCCTCATTCAGCTTCCACATCCCCAAGGCATTGGACTAGGTAGTGAGGAACATCACTTGCCGTGTTTGACTGCTTCTGTGTAAATGCTGAACACTATTTAACTGCCACAGACTGGGGAGAGATGCACAGTTTAGACAAGGAGTCCAGACGTTTTCAAAGTAGCGGGAAATAGATGGGTTATCAAGGAAGGCCAGGGGAAGGTGAGTCATTGCTCTCGGTGACACATCAGTGGCCGTGGGCTTTAGAAGAAGATCTGGCGGTGAACTCAGAGGAGGAGGTGACGTCAGAGAGAGCCGCAGAACACCGTGGGAAGACCTCTGGTTCCAGAAGCTCATGGTGGATTTTTGCTTTCCAGGGATGTGGTTGAGGTTCTGCTGAGGAACGACGCGCTGACCAATGTCGCTGACTCGAAAGGCTGCTACCCCCTGCACTTGGCAGCATGGAAAGGAGACGCCCAGATAGTGCGCTTGCTCATCCACCAAGGGCCCTCGCACACCAGAGTCAATGAACAGGTCGGGAGAGAGACTGTCCCCAGACGTGCGCAGCTCAGGACATAGCTCCTCCTCCTCTAGGCTGACCCCTCATCAGGAGTAGTGGGGACATTGTGATCTGGAGGATGATTGGTTTGTTTGGTTTCTGGTTTTCTCTGTGTCGCCCTGGCTGCCCTGGAACTTGATCTGTAGACCAGGCTGGCCTCAAATGTAGAGATCGGCTGGAACCAAAGGCATGCCTCGCCACACCAAGCCTGAAGGATGCATTTTATATGCAGCTGACACATGCGAATTTGGTAGAGATTCACACTTGCACAGATAGACTCACAGTATAAAATTTGATGCAAATCTTTCAAAATGATGTAGAGTTAGTTTCAAACTCGAGAGATTCCATAATTACAATCTGTGCTTGTGCCACCAGCATGCAGCACAATGTTCCTGGCGTTTGTCAGTGCCCTGTGAGCTAGCCTGTCATTTTACACACATCAGAATGTGTAGAAGGGAGCGTGTTTGTGCTAGTGCTAAAAAGATGAGCTTACAACTCGAAACCATGTAGATGCGGGTCAGAGGTGAGCCGGTGGAACGAAGATCATTTCCATGGTGTCCTCCTCCAAGGCTCCTTTAAGAGTGAGCGTACTTTGAGAAACCACAGCTATTAGAAAACAGAAAGGCAGTGTTCAGGGAAAACTACCTTGATGAATTTGGTAGCCCCTGCCTGTAATCTAAACCCTTGGGAAGTGCAGACCAAAGGATCAAGGGTTTCAAGGTCATCCTTGACTATGTAGTTAGAAGACAGCCTGGGCTACGTGAAACCTTGCCTTAGCGAGTAAGGAAAGAAGGAAGGACGGGAAGAAGGAAAAAAGGATGGAAGGGAGGTAAAAATTCCCCAAGCTAGCTATGGTGGTTGGTGTACAGCCTGCATCCGCGCACTCAAAAGGCTGAGGCAGAAAGTTCAGAAGTTCCAGGGAAGCCTAGACTACAACATGAGGCCCTAATCTGAAAAGAAGAAAGAGAGAAGAGAATCAGCAGAACCTTACAAGGCCCCTGCATTTAAATCCTTAGAACAGCTTCTTTGTCCTTGGAGAGAGATTTCATTACAAGGCTCTTGTGACCCCCACCTCTGTAGCTTGGGTCCCAGGAGTCCGTCCCTCGGGGAGGGGCTGTGTCGTCCCTGCTCCTGCAGTGCGCACTGTGGTGCTCCTTCTCAGTGGAATGTCAGGTCCAGTCATCAGCAAGGCCCACACAGTTTTCCACTGAGAGCTGCCAGAGAGGGGCTTGATTCTGAGGAGGGATGGGTCAGTTCCAGGTGCTCCATGTGGAGCCTGGGTATAGCAGTGGTCTGCCAGCCTGCCATCTCCTCATGGGCGGGGCTTCCCAGTAGGTAAGCAGCAGGCATCAGACCGTTGGTGAGGATGCCTGTGTACGCCATGAGGACGACAGTGGTCTGATTGCCTCTGTGAGCCTGAGTGTGGTTCTCCTGACTGAAACAGTTTCTCTCCTCTCTGGAGGAAGTGCAGAGAGAAGCTTGCTTGTAGCTAATACTCTTCAATGTTGAAAAGCTGCCCACCATTGAAGTCCTTCTCACTCCAGCAATCGCAGCGATCATTTCTAATCCTGTCTTCGCCCACTTTGCCTTGACACACAGCTGCTTGGGTCTGTGAGCCACTTGAGTGTGCTAGCTTGTCTTGCTCACAGCTGCCTCCTGCCTGGAGTAGGCAAGGGTAGGGGATGCCAGCCCAGTGCTTGACCTTTGCAGGCGGGGGCTGGGCAGGCTGGCCAAGGTGCGGGAAGAACCGAATGGATCTGGGCAGTTAGAACCGTGCCAGTGGTTTTAAAGCATTAACGTGGCTCCCTCGGATGTGTGGATAAGAGTGAGGGTCCCTGGAGCTGCCCTCTCTTTAACTCCCCCAGGTACCCTGCGCTCGGATCCAGGTCACTTAGCCCTGAGCCCCAGAGCTGCGTGTCACTTTGATATATTTCGTCCATTTTATCGTCACATTGTCTTTTCCTTCCTTTTTATAGAATGCTCTTGAGATCAAAGAACTCAAAAAGTACGGCCCCTTTGACCCTTATGTCAATGCCAAGGTGTGTACGTCACGGCCAGGACCCATATCGCCCATGCTGTTTCTCCATGCTGCGCCTCTGCTGTGGTCCTCTGCCTGCCCAGGCTTCTCGTCACCCTCCTGCTGCCTGCCTCAGCCCATCTGCTTTTGGCTTGTTTGGGGAGACAGGGGCCGAGGCTTTATTTTTCAAACCATGCAATCCAGGAAAGGTTGGGAATATCTGAAGCAGCAGGAATAGGAACCGGGACCTCAGCGTAAGCCTGCTGTATTGCTTCAGCAAAGGGATCCAGCAGACAGCAACAAGCACAGAGGATGACTGAAGCGGACTTCTTTCTCCTCTCTTTCTGCCCTCGTGTTTCTTTTGAAGTAGAATCTGACTTTCTTTCAGGTTTCTGTGGCCACAGTGGTGGTGTGGGGGACACAGGTGCCGCACTTACTTATTCCTTCAGAAGCTGTTGCTGGCCGCCCTCTCCCTGGGTGTGTGCCTCTCTGTGTTGCCCAGCATCACTTCTCTTTCTGCTTTGTCACTGTGACCCTGCCGGGCTCTGGCCTGGTGCCTAGAGCGACAGTGCTTTGCTAGACCTACCTGAGCAGCTGCTCTCATGCCGGGAGACTTCTCCATACAGCAGCAGAGCTCAGCAGGTGGTGGGTACGGTTCTTGTCCTCACGTGCTAACTCAGATGAATTTTGGGCTGGTGTGCATGCACATGCTTTTCTCTGTCTCTGCTCCAGCCCTCACCCTCTAACTGCCCCCCTGTGTAAGTGTGTGTATGTGTGTATGCGCATGTGCACGTGCGCATGCCATGGGGTTGAGTGTCTTCCTTAGTCACTCCCTACCCTATTTTTGAGTCAGGGTCTCTCACTGAACCTGGAGTTAGCTAATTTGGCTGGACTGGTTGGCAGTGAGCTCGCAGGATTCACCTCCCAGTGCTGGAATGCATTCTGCCCTGCTTTGTCCACGGGTGCTGGGGAGCTCGGTGTGTGCCCTTGTGTCTGAGTGGCAGGCCCTCGACCGGCTGAGCTGCCTTCCAGCTCGAAAACTGCTTCCTGAGTGCAGTCTGGAGTTTGGTCTAGACTTGAAACTGTCCTGGCTGGTGTTTTATGCTCGCTCAGAATGCAACCGTCCTGGGGAAGGGAAGCATACTGCTTCTAGGGTTTGCACTTGACAGGCAGGGACATTGTCCCTTTCGTCAGATGGTTTGATCTGAGGCAGTCAGTGCATCCACTCTGTTCTGGTATATTCTTTCTGTGTTCTCAGAATCAAATAGGGGACGCTTACTGGAGCAGCCTTGGGGCAGAGGCAGGGAGCAGAGCGTTAGAGCAGAGTCTTGCCAGCCAGGCCTTCTCCCCAGGCCTGACTCTGCGTTCTGAGCTGCTGCTGACCCCAGTAAGACAGGATTTCTCCGAGCCTTGGTTCACTCTTTTATAAAGTGGGTTGTTACTGCTTTCCTTGTTGGTTGTTTTGGAGTCATGTTCATAAAGTATCTGGTGACTAACAATACATGAAATGCTCTGAAATGTCTGTGCAATCTGCGGGGTTTTTTTTGTTTTGTTTTGCCTTTTTTTTTTTTTTTTTTTGGAAAAAGGGCCTCACTATGTAGTTCTAGCTGCAGACCAGACAGGCCTTGAACTCACAGAGATCCTTCTGTCTCTACTTCCCAAGTGCTAGGCTTAAAAGTGTGCCCCACCACGACACCTGGCTACCTGTGCTGTTCTGAAGGCACCAGGTAATGTTTCCAGTGCTGCTGGGTGGTTAGCAAAGAATCTCTCAGTGTGCTCAAGCTTTGGTTTGGCGAGGGGGATCTGAATGACTGTTTCCACCTGCGATTGAATTGGCTTCTGAAGCGTGAATTAATGCTGTGTGTTTGGTTCTTGGAAGTGCTTTCCCTAGCTTTTGATTTCGTGGACAGAACAGAAGATTTGAGTCAGTGAACGTTCGTATCTGGAAGCGGTGCTCTGTGCTTTCTTCCCTTGAGGGTGCACACAGCACCGAGGGCTGAGCTGGGTTGTCTGTGTTGAGGATGCCGGCCCTTCTGGGTCAGAAGGTCCCACACCCCTAGGTTTTATCTTGACTTGAGGGGGGTTGGCTAGCCTGACCCATGGCTAGGAATTGTTTTACTAAAGCGTATGTGAATGCTAAATCCTATCTGGCTCGAGTACAAGCTTGGAAGGCTCAGGCATCATTTCAGGAGCAGATGTGGATTTCCCGAGCTCCCCTGCTCCCTTTCAACACTTTTCCTTTCAACAGTCATCATGGCAGTAAAAACGGACACGAGCTGTAGCTACAGTGGAACTGCGGGAACAGGCACCCCTGTAAGACAGCCTCCCCTTAGTCTGGAAACGAACTGTAGCTACAGCGGAACTGCGGGAACAGGCACCCCTGTAAGACAGCCTCCCCTTAGTCTGGCTGTCACAAAGCAAGCAGCGTAGGCAAACTCGTTTTGTGGTAGACCAGTTTTTCAGACCATCCACATCCCAGAGCGGGAAGGACCTTGAACTGGACCTGATTGACTGCATCAGAAGCTCAGAAGCTGTTGGAGAACCTTCCCTTTGAAGGACTTTTAGCTTAGGAGGGTTCCTATGCCTAGGGCTCTGCTGTGGTGAGCACTTCTTGTGCAGGGCAGTGACATTCCGCCCTTTGCCTTTCTGTCTCCCTATGCAGCTGTGGCCATATCGAGTGATGTGTTTGAGACTAAGTTGTTCATGTCTTGACTCCAAAGCCTTAAGTTTAGTATTAATTGGATTTTCACCCAAGATCTGAGAGCAAAGGCATTAAGTTTATAAAACCGAACAAGGTGGGGGACACACCTGTATTCTGGCAGAGGCAGAAGAGTTACTGAAAGTCTGAGGCTAGCCTGGGTGAGGCTAGCCCGGGCTCCCTAGTGAGTGATAGGCCAGCCAGAGAGCATGATGGGACCTCATCTGGAGACAGTGAGGAGACCCTGATGCAGTCACTAAGTTCAGAAAATTCACTCTCCTAATACGCTGACCATGTTCACACGGACACTTGTCCTCATGATGCCACTTAGTCCTCTCTCCTTTCCACCTCCCTTTCTCTCCCCTCCAGCAGCCGTGATGAAGCTGTTACTGTGGGTTAGGTTCAGGATCCTTGTGTGGGACAGGGATCCGCAGAAGTGATGCCCTTCTTTGTCTCCCTGACGACAGTGGTGCTTGCAGGTGGTTTCATTCCTCAAGGTACAACTCAGGAGGGTCTTGGATCTGCTTGGCAACCACTCAGCCCTGGTTTTGAGACAAGTTCTGGCTGTGAGGTCCAGGCTGGCATTGAACTCATGGTCTTCCATCCTTCTACCTCAGTCTCCTGAGTGCTGGGATTATAGGTGTGTCCTACCATACCGGCAGAATTTTAAATAATAGTTTTATGTGTCCTTATACTCTGACAGCTTCTTTTGCCAACTCTGAAGTTGGGCCAGTTCCTGGTTATTTTTAAACTCTATGTAGTTCCCAGATGAGTCTTTTTTGAGATGTATTTCTGAGCCAATTTCCTACCTGGAGGGATCCTCGCTCTGTTACCTGAACAGACGATCTTCCGTTTTCTTTCCATGTTTTCCTAGTAACCTGCTGCCCGGCGCATGTGCCTGGGATGCTGGCTGCAGTTTCTCAGCCGGCTGGCATGTCTTTCTGCTGTCCACTTTGGTTCAAGTTCTGCACTACAGGAGGGGACTCTACTTTACCATCGTGGGGTCAATCTTCTCTTTCTTTCCCGCCTTGTTAGTTTCGTACGCATGGCTTTGCCTTTCTTCCTGGTCACCTTTCTAGAACCGGCAGCACGGTTGCAGATGGTTACAGCTCTGGCTCCTTACCGCAGACCTCTGTCCACGGGGACACGTGAGCCTGACTGTGATGGAATATTCCCCCGTGGAACTCCTTCTGTATGATTTTCTCTGCACACATATGAATGTGTCTGTTTGTGAGTTACACATGGGATCCGGAGTTCAGTGGAATCTGCAGAGAAGAGTAGACCCCTGTCTTCTTAGACCTATTGCCTGTAGCAGGGAAAACTTAATCTCAAGTGAGTGGGGATGGAGGGTGAGTGAAAGGGTTTAGCATCAAGTTCAGGGCTAGCTTGGGCCGTGCAACCCTCCCCCAGTTCAGAGTAAGGTGATGAGTGTAATGTTGTTCAAAAGGGAAGTATGCCCCATGACTGCGACCTGAATCTGTGCTCTCTTGAGGGTCCATGAATCAGACGACTCCAAGTAGAAACCAGGAGAGCATGTGGCAGGTTGCCAGTGCTCAGCCATGGTGACGTGGTCACCACGGACAAGCTCAAGGAAGCTAACTCCCAGCCTGTATCTGGCAAAGCCAGTTCACTCTCAGATGCTTCCACACTGCGCCAGTGAGGTGTGGTTAGGTGGTGTTTAGCACCAGGCAGGCAGTGTGCCAGGGCTGACCACATTGTGCCTCAGCAGGGCAACTTTGGGACAGCTGTCATCTTTCTAGCAAAAACCAACAAAAAGGCCAGAGAAAACCTAAAAAGCACTCGCTGTGTTTGCCATTTTGGTAGGATACATTAAGGACTAAACCCAGGGCCCTGTGAGTGCTAAGCACTTGTTCTGCCACTGAGCCACATTTCCGGCATGTCATTATATCTCTGTCCCCCTCCTCCCTCCCTCTCTGCCTCCTTTTCCCCTTCCTCCCTTGCTGGATGGTTTTGTCTTTAGAGCTTTACAATTTTTCAGTCTCTAAGTCAAGTGTTTACAGAGTCTAGGACATGTGATCCTGGATGTCAGGCACACGGCCGTATGATTGTCTCAGAGTCATTAAGTTTGACTGGTGGAGTTTTATTGACAATAAGCTGACTTTTTGACCCTGAGTGGCATGCAAAAGTTGAGATAGACTTTTCTTAAACTTCTTTGGGTGGCACGTTCCAGAAAGCTCCCATGAGCTCTGTTGAAGTAGCCGTGTTTTGTCACCAGGAAGCAAAGTGACAGCCCTGAGTTTGCTTGGGGGCCTTGGGCCCTAGCTTGGTAGGAGGTGGGCATGCCCAGTGGCCACTGAAAGCTGTGTCCGTGGCTGCTTTTGCCGAGCTGTGCTGTCCCTCCGGCACTGCCCTCTGTGTCTTACTTGTTTTTATCTCTGCATGTGCCCCTGCTGCCACTTTTTCTGCCCTTGTTTTCGATTGAAACATTTCTTTGCTGTTACTCTGGCCGCTGGGGCCTTGGGCTCAGCAGCCCGGGAATTTTCTCATCCATTTTTATGTAGCTGAGAAAAAAAAAAACAAGAAAACAACAACCAGGAAAAAAAACAGCAACAACAAAAGAAAAAAACAAAAATACCCTGATGCAGTCAAAAGCAGATGGAATTGATGCATGTTTGGGTAACTCTTCATCTGTTCCTTTTAACGTCACTAACAGAATTGAAACAACCGTAGACGTAGTTGATTGTTAACTTCTGGCGGCTGAAAGGTGCGCACTATCGACTCAGGACGGGCCCTCTCAAGCCCTGTCTTCCCCATAGTAGCAGAAGCTGCCTGGGTAAACTGAGGACTCTGAGACGTGGGAGAACCTTTCTCCTCCAGGACATGTCATCCGTCGCGAAGGACTTAATCGGCGTGGCTCACGTCCACTTTTGACGGTTGGGAAAACACAGCGCTCCCCACTTTCACCCCAGCTCTGTCCTTGAGACGAGATTGGTGCCAGAGGCCTTCAGACTGCGAGTTGCATGGAGGGCAGTGTTGCAGTGGAATATTCTGCTCCCCTCACACCAAGCATCTAGGGCCTGTCCCTTTCCTGCATAAGAAGGCTTCTCCAACGTGCTCACTGTCTCATGCAGCAGAAGCCACAGGAATTGCCCCATGTGCCCTTCTGCAGCCGTCATGAGGGCAGGATAGGGTCTCGATTTCTCTCAGGCCTGAGCCTGTGCCTTCCTTAGAAATGGCTGCCCACTGCTGTCTTGAGCGTGGTTTGCGGTGCTCTGCTCTGTTACTCTCTCTGCTGGCTGATTGATTTGCATGCCAGACTACAGATGACAACCTCCTTTTAAAAAGCTGTGTGGAAGGCTGTAGATGGTGGATAAACCCAGAATCGGAACCACAGGGTCGTTCAAAGAAATGCTTCTAAAACCAGTTGAAGTTTAAATGAAACAATGGCAGCGGTGCATGTGTGCCAGGCCGTCTACCAAACGCCTGCCAAATTTTCTCGTTCCCTCGCATTCAGTATGGAGATGCGCCCTTAATGGCATACAGAGAATGCAAATGTTCAGGGAATGCTCCCCTCCTGCAGGGACGGAGGGCAGATGTGGCCTATGGTAGCAATCAGGCTGGATTGTTGGGGGCGGTGACTCGATTCAGACTCCTGTAAGTTTCCAAGTATCGCTGCTATTTTCTCATTTAAATTTCAGTGGTTTTTATGGGTGATTATGCAGGCAGATGTTGGTCCCCTACCCCACCCCTTTCTGATATGCTGTGCTTGTTAACCCTCAGAACAACGACAATGAGACTGCCCTGCACTGTGCAGCACAGTACGGCCACACGGAGGTCGTGAAGGCTCTGTTGGAGGAGCTCACAGACCCCACCATGCGCAACAACAAGTTCGAAACACCTCTGGACTTGGCAGCGCTCTACGGGCGGCTGGAGGTGGTGAAGATGCTGCTGAGCGCGCACCCCAACCTCCTGAGTTGCAGCACTAGGAAGCACACCCCCTTACATTTGGCCGCGAGGAATGGCCACAAGGCCGTGGTGCAGGTCCTGCTGGACGCCGGCATGGATAGCAACTACCAGGTAGCAAGGAGGGCACCTCTCCTGGCACAGGCCAATGCCGCCGGGCTGTGTGTGCTCAGCACGTTTCACATCACACTCACGTGCTTCCGTTTGTCACTGTTCTGCTGTGACATCTTAGCAGCAGACGAGCTTTGTGGAGTGAGTCTAGCGGTTTTGCTTGTTTCTTTTCAGGGTGTGAGATACAGTCTTGAACCCCTGAAAAGAAGTGCTTGTGGGCCATCTCAAACCAGAAGGGTTCATTGCCTTCCCATACATGGCCCCCACCTCCCACCCGCCACCTTTTTTGCACTGCCAAAGCTTCAACTGCCAACATGACTTGGCACTCCTCTGTGATAGCAAGCTTCTCTAAGTCAATACTTCCGTAAGCTTGGTGTTGGCTCTCCCTGTGGGCCGTGAGGTGCTTTTATTCCCTCTTAGAAAAGTGGAGCTCGGTCAAATTTTAGGAGTCAACATCCCTACAAGCAGTGGGGACTCATGCACGTGGCCTGAGATGACACCCAAGTGGTCTTGCTGTGTGGATTTTTTAGAACCCATACAAGAAATGTTGGAAAGCCGAAGCCCCAGAGGGCTCTGTGTAGCTTGGTTGCCACCCATCCTTATCCGTGTCCCGTTTGTCACGTGACACACCAACTGTTCTCATGACGTGCTGCTGCGCTCTTGTTTGCCTTCCAGACGGAGATGGGCAGCGCTTTGCATGAGGCTGCTTTGTTTGGCAAGACCGATGTGGTGCAAATTCTGCTGGCTGCAGGTGAGGTTGGCAGCGCTGATCCCATGTGCCGGGCGGTGTTTGAGCCCAGCGTCTGTGTGTGGTTAGAGCTGTGTGACTTGGTCCTGGAACGCTGGACTGTTGATGGCTGTGGGTGAAGAATGTAGGTTGAGCTGCTTGAGAGCTGCAGGAGTCCTTGGGCCTGCCCGAAATGCTCACTTCCCTGCTCCACCTGCTGTCCTCCCAGGAATCGACGTTAACATAAAGGACAGCCGTGGCCTCACTGCCCTCGACACTGTGCGCGACCTGCCTTCGCAGAAGAGCCAGCAGATAGCAGCCCTGATAGAAGGTAAGGGCCGCTGCGCTGTCTGGGGCCAGGACCGCTAACCGGCACTGTGGGTGGTGCAGCCTCTCACTTTATTTTTTAAACCATCCTTCCTTACAGATCACATGACTGGAAAAAGAAGCGTGAAAGAAGCAGATAAGAGCGCCACAGCTCAGCTACCTCTCCTCTCCAGCACAGATGCCACAGCACCAAAGTCTCAAGGTGAGGTGCTTCTCCTCAGCCAGGAAAGAGGGGTAGCCTGAGGAGAGTCGTCACTCTTGGGCAGAATGGAAAGTTCTGCATTCAGATAATTGCAGGGTGTTATTAGGATCTACTCAGTTCACTTGTCTTCCTGCTCCCTCAAGTCTTAGCAGGCATGACGCAGATTTTGGTATGGGTATTATTTGTCCTACTTTTCCATTTTCATTAAAAAAAGTTGTTTTAATTAATCCAGGCCTTAACCCCAGCACTTGAAAGACAGAGGCAGGCAGCTCTCTGAGTTCAAAACCAGCCTAGTCTACATAGCAAGGTCCAGGCTAACCAAACTACACAGTAAGACCCTGTCTTAAAATTTAAAAAACAGAACAAAAGTTATATACATATATATAATATGTATTATATTATACACATACATACATACAATATACATGTGTGTTTGTGTGTGTGTGTGTGTGTGTGTGTAGTGATTTTTACTCTGACTTTCTGGACTCTTGTGGGGCCCATCACACATGGAAGCTTATTCTTTGTTACGAATGTCCAGCCTTAGCTTGGCTTGTTTCTTGCCAACTTTTCTAACTTAAATTATCCTGACTACTTTTTGCCTCTGGGCTTTTTCCTTTTCTTACTTCTGTGTCTCTTCCTTTAACTCTTATTCTGCGGCTGACTGGATTGCTGGGCGGCTGGCTGCTGACATCCTTCCTTGGGCTCTCATTCTCCCTCCCTTCCTCCTATCCTCTCTGCCTGCCAGCCCCGCCTGTCCTTGCTCCTCCCATGTTATTGGCCATTCAGCTGCTTTTTAGGACCATCAGGTGTTTTAGACAGGCAA